AGTGAGTGCTTCTTGGATGCTGTTTGGATACTAACCCGTCTCCTTGTCGTTGAAGAAGACCGGCTCGATGTTGACATTGAAATCGATGAAATTACGGAGGACGCCTTGCCGAACGTGGATGCCCTTGGCCTGGTTGTTGCCCACGCGAACCGAGAACCTGAAATATTGCATACAAAACATTGTATACTCCAATCCGAGACACCCAATGGGGCTGGGACCCACCTCAACATATTATCCTTGGACTGACGATTCTCCACCAAATGCTCGAAGGCCTTCTCCACATTCAGCAGTCCGTGGCCCTGGGCAAAGGGATCCACATAGCTCAGTTTGGTGGCAGTGACGCTCAGGGCTCGCTTAATACTGTACGGCGAATACTCAATGTTTTGCTGCTTGAGTCCGGAGATAAGCAGGGCCACAGCACCGGCCACATGGGGTGCGGCCATGCTGGTGCCATTCATCAGCTGCGACTTGCTCATGGTGAACTGTGGTACGGACGCAATGGCCCCCCCGGGAGCACAGACCGTAACGCCCTGGCCGCCATCGATGCAGGGATCGCGCGAGGTCCATGTGTACACATTGCCGGGCAGCTTGTCCCGCATGGCATACTCTGCCTCCATCATTTGGGGCGAGACATAGGCACCCACGCCAATCAGGCTGGGCTGACTGATGTCCGGCGGTGTGCCAACAGTGCTGAGCGCTGGTCCATGGTTGCCCGCGGAAGCTACCCAGACAACGCCATACTTGTTTACGATCTCGTTCATTAGGTCGCCAACGCGGCTGAAATAAATTAGGCAAAGAGGCAGAGATTAAATTTAATTGATATCACAGGTGAATGCTTGCTGTAGCGTGTTTATCTGATGTCAGATGTCGGAGAAAAAGAGGAATGGAGTGTAGATTGTGTGGGTTCTGGAACGTACCTCGAACACCCACTATTCTTCTTTACCTTTCGACGTTTATCACCAAACTCGCTAAAGAAACAGGCACTTTTGGGTTAGCTTCCATTAGGCCACTCAGACTAGCTTACCCGGAATTCGACCAGTTGGCATGCTCGCCATAGCTCATGTTGATCACGTCGATGCGTCTGCCCTCGCGGCACAGCTCCATTACCTTCGTCATGGCCCGAACCAGAGCGGTGCCAGTCTCCATGGACCCCAGACGGCCATCTCCGATGGTCATGGACACGATTTTGGCATTCGGTGCTACGCCGTCAACGTCTCTCGAGCTGTGGTTGCCACTGGCTATCGACGAGACGTGCGTGCCATGGGGCGAGCACATGCCGACGATTTCCAGAACATCGCCCTCATCGTGGACGTTTACTGATATCGACAGGAAGTCATCTACGTTCTGCGTCTCGTGCGTCTTTGAGTACTCGCCAATGCGCAGGGCCTGATCCAGGTTGCCCTGCTCGGTGGTGTCGATGAGGGTTAGCCATCCGTTGGCCGTGGGAAAGAGGACACAGTCGTACGAGGTTTTAACGTCGTTGTAGACCTTCTCATAGCTATTGAGCATCTCCAGCTCAAAGTCTAGGTTCTCTTTGATGATTTTCTTGTCCCACGGCATTTTGGGGGCTTCACCTGAAATAAGGATATTCATATGTATGTATTTAGCGACCCGATTTTCTCTGCAAGCGGTTTTTGGCTAACGTACCTGTATTTTGTGACTCGAATTCAGATATCTTGCGACTGGCGTTGGCCGTGGCTATCTTGTGGGGCTTATCCCAGTGCTTCAGCTTGGCCTGGGCTACAATGTTATCGCGCACCTTGGAGGGCACCAGATCACCGAAGCACTTCAGGCCCACGCGAACCGCCTTGTCAGTGTCCGTGTTCAGAGCCAGCAGCTCTGGACTGAGTGTCAAGGTGGTGCCAGACAAACCCTTCAGGGTTCCATTTTCATCTGGTGTTACCTTCTTCTTCATATCTACGTCGCCGCATCCCGAGCAGTCGTAGCGCTCAATCACTTTAATCGTTTTGCCATCGACAAGCGTCTGAAGATACGCACACAAGTGTATCGAGCGAAATGTGAAATGGAAATCCATGACACCGCCAATTAAAAATGCCAACTCACCTCAAGTCCGGTAGCCCGAGGATCCACACCGGAATCAAATATGGCAATGGTTACATCTTTGCCGTCGTATTCGGGATACTTTTGCAGAAAATTTAGCACTCCTGTCTCCGCCTTGGGCACCAGGGCACCCGTAGGAAATGACTCGACAATTCCGCTTGTAGCCATACTCATATTTTCGAATTTATTGCTGTTCTCACCGTGTTCTCGAAACTGTCGCGTTGTTGCTGTTTTTATATACAACAATATAGCCGTATGATGAAAAACCCAACTTAGCCCACTTAAGCCCCCGTATATTTAAATAGTTCAACTACTTGAGGTAAATGTCTGGAAAATTGAAATACTCCCTTGGCTTATAATGGGTTAATCGTTCACCCACAAGGATTGGAAACCATATTGCTTAATTTTGATGTTCCGTTAAATATTATAAGCCCACATAATTTTATGAACCTATTTTGTAATCGACTGGCTTATTTTAAACACTTACTCTTATTGTATTTCTATATAGCTTTGAAAATGAAATTTAATATACCATTAATATACCATAAATAATGAGTGAGTGAAAGAACTTAACCCACGTAACCCCTTCTATTTAAACAGGGGAACAACTTGAGCAAACCGCGAAAAAGCACTGGTATATTTACGGTATATTTTGAAAATTAGTCGATATATTTCGGTAAATTTCTGAGGGTCCGACTATACATCTTATCAATAAATCTGCGGCCATACTGCCAGCATACTTTAAATTTAAAATAATAATTTGTGAACAAAATAACAAGATATCGTTTCTTGGCAAGATGTGTTTCGAAATCCTACCTGCCGAAGCTATCATCACCAGGCTCCTTTCCGTGCCCATATACGCCAAGTGCGGCGTGCAGAAGCTGACGCTGGGCAATGTGAATTCGATCGCTGCCTTCTGTCCGAGCAATTCAAAATTCTTATATAATCGCAGTTTATTGTGCACAACACGGAATTTATTTAACATATTCTAAGTTCCGCTGCTGTAGAGCTTGTTGCCAATAGTTTAATGGTCACTTGAACACTTTTGCAATGATTTATAATGGTTTTTCCCGCAGGCCTTCCGTGGCAACATGGACCGAGCGTTTTCAGCCGTGTGATGTACCAGCGCGATTTCCGACTGACGATTATCCGTATGTAATTGATATTTGTTGATAGGTGTTTTCGTATTCTCGGGCTTCCTCATGATTGTCGGTTAGCGATTTATTTCGTTTTAGTTTGTGCTTGTTAATCATGGAAAAATTATTCTTCTTTTCTTTCCCGTTCCGCACGTTCATTTATAGTTTCCAGAATCGATCCTCAATGCTGAGACACATTTGACTTTCTTGCTGGGTCTATATGCCATTTCCAGTTGAGAAGAAGGATCAAAAGTGCGAAAATTAATAAACCTAGAGGGCGGAAGGGAACGTTGTAGAGATTTTCTGTAGCTTCCTTCACTCCATGGAAACTCTATTGCCATATATAGAAACGCAGCCATGCTCAGTTGATGGGCTTAATTCCAGCTTGGTCCTCGTCCTCCAGCGTTACATCGCTTACAAATAATTTGAATTCTTAACTGTAACATTTGTAAACAAACACAAAACAGTACGGAGAGCATGCACATCTGGTCACACTCTTCGCTGAGTGAAAAATATGACAAATCATTTCGTGTTTTTTACCTGAACTGCTCTAAAATACTTCAAGTTTCATCAGTATCCGATTGATATTTTGATTATGTAGTGCCAAGTGCCAAAATGTGCCAGTTCATAAATCATCATCATCATTCATGTCGCAAGCCAACTTTGTGGATTAGAAACATTTTTAAAAAATTTCCCCGCAGTTGACCTTAAAAAAATACCAGATGAGACTGGAAAAAAGCCTAATCGTCAGCGTTCACAAGTAGTTTTAACAGCTGTTGTTGTTCAGAGGTGAAAACAGCTGTTTACTGCTGAATCCAAGTTCAGCCAAGTTTTATTTACAAATTCGGACGAAATGGGCGAGCGCAAGGGACAAAATAAGTATTACCCGCCCGACTATGATCCAAAGAAGGGCGGACTCAATAAATTTCAGGGCACGCATGCCCTGCGGGAACGTGCCCGGAAGATCCACCTGGGCATCATCATCATCCGCTTTGAGATGCCCTACAATATCTGGTGCGACGGCTGCAAGAACCACATCGGGATGGGTGTGCGCTACAATGCGGAGAAGACCAAGGTGGGAATGTACTACACCACACCGATCTACAAGTTTCGCATGAAATGCCACTTGTGCGACAATCACTTCGAGATCCAAACGGATCCAGGCAATCTCGACTATACCATACTCTCTGGGGCGCGACGGCAGGAGAACCGCTGGGATCCGCTGCAGAATGAGCAGGTTGTGCCGGAGACGAAGGAGGTGCAGAAGCGGCTCTTCGACGACGCCATGTACAAGCTGGAGCACCAGGCCAAGGATGCTAAAGCTGCCGCCGATGCCAAACCTGTGCTCCAGAAACTGTTCGAGCGCAACCAGAGCGTGTGGGACGACACCTACGAAGCCAACTGCCGCCTTCGGTCCGAGTTCCGGCATCAAAAGAAGGAGCTAAAGGGCCAGCAGGAACTGGATCGCCAGCTGCTGGCTAAGAGCAGTCTAGACGTTGCCCTTCTGCCGGAAACAGATCAGGACAGGCAAATGGCGGCCTTGATGAAGCTTCAAACCAAATCGGCCATTGAGCGGGAATCAGAGCAGCGTCTCGATCTACTCATGCAACCGGCATTGCCAGGAGCCACAGCGACAACCTTCGGCGGCCTGAAGCGGCAAAAGGTTCTGAACACACAGCTGCAGGTCCAGGATTTGGGCATCCGTCGCAAACAATCTGACCAGTCCGAAGAAGCTCCATCACCGCCTGCAAAGTCCTTGAGTCTGGTGGGTGACTACTCCTCCTCGGATAATGACTCCAACAGTTAATGCACAATATGTAGATTTAATAATACAAAATAAAATAAGAACAACAATGACATAAACACCTCAATACTCTTCATCAGCCTCCGGCTCGACCATTTCACTATTGGAGACGGCATTTCCATTGATTCCTTGAATTTCTGCAGAGGGCTGGCCATCCATGGTCTTATAAAGCACGGTATAGATGCGGCTGCAGAACTCCGCGTGATTGTTGCTGTTTGTCACGTCGTCCATCAGGCGTTCGATTTGAAGCAGCTTGTTGTAGCACTCGTCGCGTGTTACTATGGCACCGTCGATCTTGATGCTCAAGGTCTGCATCTCGCTCATCAGGTCCCTTGTGGTGAGATCTTCCTCTGCGCCCGTTCCGTTAGATGGTGGCGACACTGCTTTGGCTAGTTCCTTAGCGAAGCCGCGCGGCTTTATTGGTTTCGGAATGGGCGCATTGGCAGCCGATTTGATGTTCTCCAAGCCCGGAGCCTGCGAGTCGAAGAACTTCTTGAACCACTGCAGAAACTCAAAGTTGTCCTGGAAGCGGCCCTTGATCAAGCGATCGATGGGCACTGCTTTGTCCAGCTTGAGGCGGGTAAAGGCGCTCTGAAACAACTTGAGATTGTGGAGGCATTCGTGCTCCAGCTTTGCGCTCATCTTCACGCGCTTCAGGTTGATGCAGTTGGGGAAGATCAGCTCCATCATTTGGCAGTAGGCAACACCTAAGAGAAGAGCATTGGCCCTAAGTAAGAACATCGCCAGCGTGCGCACGCAGTATCTTACCTGAGCTCAGCTCTTCGATCTTTTTGAAGTGGCCCTGCACCATGGTATTGACCCATTGCAGCATGTCATGGCGCGACATGTTCTCTCCGTTGCTGCTGGTTAGGGCTACGGTCAATTTAAGGTCACTCATTGTGCGATATTACCGTTTATGTCCACTGAAAGATTTGTTGGGCTAGACCGCTTGAGTTTCAAACGGAAAATTGACTGCTGATTGATTTTCGGAAAGTCAAACTTATGTATGTGGAGCGAGGCCTGCCTACTCTACACGTAAATTTGTTCAGTTTTCCTTTTCTCTACTATCGTTCGTTTCCTTTGTCCTTACTTTCTGCCGCCACTTTTCGATTGTCCGACCATTTCCAATGCTTCCATTCCAGGATGCAGTGACGTGCAGGGATATGATATTCGTGCTATCGATCGGAGATATCGATATCAGCAGAGCGGGCCTTTTTATTGAACTTAAAAAAAATAAAACTACAATGGCTTAATATTAAACTTCTGTTCCACCTTCTTGACGAACTCTAGGAAATCCTTGTGCAGCACTTTGGGCACCTCGAGGGCAGCAAAGTGTCCGCCCTGTTTGTGATACGTGCTGTGTATCAGGTTCGGGAACTTATCCTTCAGCTGAATATCCAGGAAATGCATGATATCGCTCTTGAAGCGGGCACACCCAGTTGGTACCGGGGTGGGGACGCGCTCCAGCAGCAGTCCACGCTGCTCCTTGCTGTAGGCCTCGGCGTACAGGCGCTGCGAGGTGGTGATTGAGTTGGTCAGATAGTAGATCATCACGTTGTCCAGCAGGGCGTCCATCGTGTAGCGCTTCGTGATGCCGCCATCGGCCAGGGACCGGTAGCTTGGATTGGTCCACGTGGAGAACTTTTCCAGAATATAGGCGGCCAGGCCGACTGGGTTATCGGTGAGGGCTGCGCCAACGGTGTCCGGCTTGGTGGCCTGCAAGTGGAAGTAGCCGCTCTCCTCAATCAGATAGCTCAGCTGGCGCGACTTTGGGAAGAATAGGTCCTCGAAGCCACTGGGCACAAAGAGACTGGGCCATAGCCCGGCCAGCGCACCCATTACATGGGACTTGGGGCTCATGCTGGTGCACATATTGGAGTGATAGCCGAGGACGTTCTCCGGGTAGAGGGTGGCCATGTGGCTGCCAATGATGCTGCCCCAATCGCCGCCCTGAATGAAGTACTTATCGTACCCCAGGCGTGCCATAAGGTTGCTCATTATCACGGCCACTTGGGCAGGTCCAAGCCCCTTACGTGACGTGCCCTGTGTGGGGAACAGCGAGATAGTTACATGGAGATTATTATGGTTTTAATATAAACCTACCTGGGACCAGCCATAGCCTGGCAAACTGGGCACAATCACGTCGAAGATGTACTTGTTGTTCTTATCCAGATTGGACTGATGGAGCAGGTGAATCAGATCGTAGAACTCGCGGACCGATCCCGGCCAGCCGTGCAGCAGGAGCACCGGATAGTGCTGCTTGCCCACCTTGTTCTCGTCGTATACCATCAGGTGGAGGAAGTGCATGCGTAGCCTGAAATTGTCAATCAACACTATCATTCGACTCGCTCTGGTGGCTGATAAGAGCTTATCGCCTCACCCCTGAATATCGGTGGTGAAGTGATTGAATTGCCAAAGGAAGACTTCACGTTCGCGCCAACGCGGCAGGTAATCGTCTCTCCAGTACTCCACCACTTCCTTAAGATAGTCCGTGTTGAATCCGTACTCAAAGGCCACACCCTCCAGTGGGGGAGTGAGGCGCAGAGTGCGATTCAAGCGAGTAAACAAATCCGTGATGGTCTACGGAAGGCACGGTCAGAATGTACTTCATACTTTTCTTAGAAGCTTACCTTCTCCGGATAGCTGAGCCGATTGCCAATCACCTCCGAGCTGTTGGCCAGATAGGCTGCATAGTCCTTGGGCTGGGCCTCATCGCCCCACCATTCCTGCGGATCAAGTTTCGGGGCAGGCAAATCTGCCCAGAGCTGGCTGACATTCTTATAGATTAGGCCGCCGCCAATGGCCAACACCAGCACCAGAATTTTCAGTGCGCCGGACATAACGAAGCGATTACCTTATACCGCCAGAGTTCAACTCACAATGACCGGTCCCGCCGTCGCCCAATCGGACTATAGCAAATGGCATGCTGACTATCAATTCTCCTAGACTGCAGCTCTGTCCCAGAAATGAGTATCATTGTGGTGGGCGCAGCTCTCGAACATTTAACTCATGATGATAAGCATTTTTGTTTGACAAACTAATGCCCTACGCCGGCCCCGAAGAGTTGATCAGTTAAGGCATATCGTGGGGTGTACTTTGGATCTACTTGAAACTCTGCAGGGGCTCTCCGGATCGTTAAAGTCTGGGGCGTGTTTTTGGGCGAGAGTGATCATGGAGAGGGTCGTCGTTAAATGATATATTTTGCGACGCAGCTGAAACGTAGACGTACCCCCAGTCCCACAGGTAGCCTAAGCTTCTACTCTCTTATTAGGAACTGGCTTGGGGGTATTTCGATGTGAAAAAAGCTTTGATAGAGGGTATACAATGCGCAACCGTTGCTAAGGTATTCTGATCTCCACATATTATGTAAGAGTTGTCTGAGCTCTGATAAATATATATGTACATATATGTATTCGTAGGGACTCTTGTATGTATGCGCGTATCTCTTCAACTTTCGGGTTTCACATAAGATAAGACCAGTGTTATCATATAGTTTGGGTTTATTTTAATTTTCAAAACAGATATCGCCATTCTTAACAGCGGTGAATGCGATTGTTTAAACAGAGAGAAACATAAGCGTATTTATTGCATTCCAAGCGAATACGAAATTCGATTAGAGATCGGCTTTCTGCACAAAGGCCGTGAAGTCTGCGTACAGCTGCTCCGGTAGCTCGAAGGCCGGGAAATGTCCGCCGTCCTCGAAATAGGTGCTGTGCACCAGATTGGGGAATTTGTTGGCCAGAATGGCATCGGAGGTGTGTGTGATTTCATGGGCGAATCGAGTGCATCCAGTCTTGGCCGTAATGGGCACCGAGTCGACAGCCAGGGCAAACTGTGCCTTGTTCATCGACTCGGAGTACAGGCGCATGGAGGTGGTGATCGAGTTGGTCACATAGTAGATCATGACGTTGTCCAGCAGCTGGTCGTAGGTGAAGCGCTTGGTAAGGCCACCATCTGGTAGTGCCATGAACGCGGGATTCGTCCACGTGGAGAACTTTTCCAGGATGTAGGAGGCCAGCCCAATAGGGTTATCGATCAGAGCATTGCCCACAGTGTCCGGCTTGGTGGCCTGGATGTGGGCATAGCCCATCTCCTCCATGATGGTCTTGAAGAGGCCACCAGCGCCCTTGTAGAAATGCGTGAACTGGCCGTCGACGAACCAGCTGGGAAAGACAAAGGACAGGACCAACTTCAGGCTGCCCATGGGACTGTTGTTGGCGCACATGTTCGAGTGATAGCCGAGCACATTCTCCGGGAAAAGCGAGGCCACATTGGAGCCTATCAGCGAGCCCCAGTCACCGCCCTGGACGAGAAACTTCTCAAAGCCCAGACGCAGCATCAGATTACGCATCACCACTGCCACTTGGGCCACTCCAAAGCCAGTCTTTGAAGATCCCTAATAGCAGAAGGAGGAGAAGCAGTCATGTTACTGATGGGATGTCCAGTGAAAAGCGTTTTCCTCTTAGACCTACCTGAGACCATCCATAGCCCGGCAAGCTGGGCGCAATCACCTCGAAGACGTAGTCGCTCTTGTCGCTCGGCGTGGTCAGCAGGGGAATGAAATCGTAGAACTCGCGAACGGTGCCCGGCCAGCCGTGCATCAAGAGCAGGGGCAGCACCTTCTTGCCCTGCTTTCCGGCCTCCTTGCTCGGCTTGGCATGAATAAAGTGAATTTTCAATCTGCAAAAAGGTGCAACAGGGGTTAGCAGGAGGTTACCAATGTCAATTGTTAATGCGTTCCAAATGGCAAACTAAATATGCATGAACCGAGAACACGTTTTCATTCGTTAGAACTCTCAATACGAAGAATGAGGTGAATGAGCTGAGCAGCTGCTGCTTTATCTACTCACCCCTGTATCTCGGTTTGGAAGTGATCCAGTTTCTTCAGGTACTGCTCGCGCTCGCTCCAGTTGGTCAGATAGGTATCTCGCCAGTATTTCACCACCTGGCGCAGCTCATTCGCATTGAATCCGTACTCAAAGCCCACACCCTCCAGCGGTTCCTGAAGCTTCAGAGGACGACTCAGTTGGCTCTTCAGATCGGCTATTACCTGGGGATCAAAGCATCATCATCAGATCACTTAGAAGTACAACAGATGAATGGTCCCTTACCTCTGGATTGACGGTGATGTCATACGGCAAGATGGCCTTGTTCTCCTTGTAGATCTGCTTGCCTAGCTTTGGTCCCCAGTAGGCATTGTTGTCGAGATCGGGCCGCTTGCCGGGCGCCGCCAGATCGCGGTAGTTCTTGTAGCCAACGGCGGCCAGCAGGGCCAGGCCTCCGATCAAAAATCGGACAAATACATTCGACATGATGCGCAATTTTGTATACTATTTAACTTTATTACAATTGCAGCCGATCGGCTCGAAATACCAGACAGAATTAATTTTGGTTTGCCAAACTCACAGCCCACGAAAGCTTTCGCCGGCGGGCTTTTGGCTTCTGTTTTAAGCTTTGCAATCACAGCTGCACACTGCAAAGCGAGCATGACGAGGCGATATTGTTCCAAAAGCTTTGGATCTCAATTGAGCGCTGGCGATTCATGCTTAGAATGTTAATGGATATCTCTATGAAATATAAATGTGTTCTACATGATGACGATCTAGCAGTTGAATTATCAATTGGCACTGTGTGCCGACACTACCTATTTGTCCAAGGGTGGACTATGATCAACCACAATTTGAATTATCAACAGTGAAAAGCTCTCGTTCCAGACAACGAAACGATACACCCGTACAAAAGGCGATCACAGCTGTTTTTGATATCAGCTTTTACGAGCAATGCCAACAAATTGTTTATTTTTGTTTGATCGTAAATATTTTGTGGAATTCGGTGCATAAGAACTTCGCTTAGGATCGAACTAATTGAAGTAATGATTCTGATGGAATTCCATGATCAATTAAGAGAACATTTCTCCGAGAAACAAACCCCTACACCCCTTCCAAAATAAATCTCCATATCTTTGCTAATCATAGAAAAAAACTACTTTATTTTGGCTTCTCACCGTGGAGACCGATCTTGCCAACGAAGGCGGTGAAATCCTGGTACAGCATGGCAGGCATCTCCATGGCGGCAAAGTGGCTGCCCTGCTGGAAGTACATGGAGTGCTTCAGGTTGGGGAACTTGTCGCGCAGCTGCCAGTCCGTGACGGAGGGCAGATCGTAGCGGAAACGAGAGCAGCCCATGGGCACGGGCGTGGGCACTCGGTCCAGCTGCAGATCGCGGTACGCCTTGGACACGTTCTCCGCGTAGAAACGGACCGCAGTGGTGATCGAGTTGGTCAGGTAGTAGACCATGAGGTTGTCCAGCACCGGCTCGAGGCCAAAGACGGTGACGATGGCCCCAAAGTCCTGCTGCATGCCGGGATTGGTGCAGTACTGGAACTTCTCGAGGATGTAGGCGGCCAGGCCCACCGGGCTGGTGGCGAGGGCAGCACCAATGGTGTCCGGCTTGGTGGCCTGGATATGGAAGTAGCCGCTCTCCCGCAGCAGGTCCGCGTACTTGTCCCACACGGGGAAGTGGTGGTCGTAGAAGAAACGAGAGGGAATAATCTTTTCCGAGAAGTAGGTGCCATAGATTCCCTTGAGGATGGCCAACGGCGAGTTGAGGACGCACATGTTGGAGTGATAGCCGATCACGTTCTCCGGATAGAGGGTGGCCAGGTTGCTGCCGATGATGCTGCCCCAGTCGCCGCCCTGAATGAAGAACTTATTGTGGCCCAGACGCAGCATCAGGTTCCTCATCACGGTGGCCATTTCGGCGGCATTGAATCCGGGACGAGTGGCAGCCTACGCACGGGTATAGAACAAAGCATCAGCAAAGGTATATCGCTGGTTGGGAGTAAAAGGAGCTTACATCAGACCATCCGTAGCCCACCAGGGAGGGAGCCACCACCTCGAAGGCATAGTCCGTCACGTTCTGGTCGTTGGTCAGCATGGGAATAATGTCGTAGAACTCACGCACCGATCCCGGCCAGCCGTGCAGCAGCAGCAGAGGATAGACATGCTTCTTGGCGGCTGCCTCCGCGCTAGCCTTCTCGCGAATAAAGTGAATATTCAGGCTGCAGAGAATGAAAAATCAAATTAAAGTACACCGCAGAACAAGCGACATACGAACCCCTGGATCTCGGTGGTGTACTGCTTGAATTTGTTGAACAGCTCCTGGCGTTCATCCCATTTGGTCAGATACTTGTCGCGCCAGTACTCAACAAACTGGTCCAAGGCATAGGAGTTGAAACCGTACTCGAACGCGATCCCGTCGAGTGGCTCGGCGAGCCGCAGGGTGCGATTCAGTTGCTGGCGCAGATCCTCGATCTCCGCCTGTGGCACGTCCAGCCGGAACTCGTAGATCTTCTTGTCGGGCACATAGTTTTTGGCCTCGCCGGGACCCCAGTACGTGCTGTCGCTGAACTCCGGCTTCGGTAGCGGACGTGTCAGCTCCGAGAACACCAAGTAGCCGTAGCCGACAAAGGCTCCCAACACGGCCACAATCACCCCGAACACTATCAGGCACTTCATTTCTGCCCACTGCCGCAATTAGCTCTTGGCTTGAATTCAAATGAGCTTCGAGCACCTCAAAGATAACGACCTAAATCCACGTCGTAGCTGGCACAACCGCACTCCCAGAGAGTCGATATTGAACTGACTAGCGGAGACCCAGCTCCATTCCTCGTCGATGTCCAAAGCTCTATCAAAACGTAATGTCTCTCTGCTTATACTATAAACTAATAATAAATTTGATAAAGCCAGGTACAGTGGGACCAGGTTCGACCTTTCCCCCTGATCTTTGATCTCCGAGCTCTGCGGCTATCGACTGTTTACACTTTTACTCAGCTAAGTGAGTGGCTGGCCTTAGGCCTCATGTCAATAGGCGAAGTCTCAGATATTATTAGTTGCATACACTTATTCTAAGAGATTAATTCTCTTGCTCCTTCAGTCGGTTTAATATACAACCCATCATTGTATCGTGAATCGTTTCGGATGTATCTTCTTGTTACTATGTATTTCAGAATACTCGTAAGTAAGCCTTTCAATAGCTCCACACCAAGGTGCGATTGGGGTTCGTCTGCCACTTGCACACGTCTGCACCTTGAATGGGCCATTGATTTGACTGCGAGATATGCTGACCCACACACTTGCAGATACATAGTACGTGTATCTGTGGGAGAATCGGGAGTAGTCTCAGCTACTTATAAGCAAGTCATATCTTATCTGGGAGCCCACCTATTTATTGGTAAGCGCTGTGCCGGCAAATGATCATAAATCTCAGCCCTGCTGCCGCCGCTGATGTGGCCGTTGCGGGTAGAGCGAAAACTGAATGAATTCGTGTGTCCGGCCGATCAGTGGGCCACGTGGATACTACTCGTTTCAATAATTGGTAGGTACTCGAGACAGCCCTCTTATGGCAGACACCCGTAGACATTTGGATTACTTTTCCGATGTACTTTCTCCATTCTCCTAAATTAGGAGCGAAATTATCCGAAGGATTAGTGGTTTCCATTTCCGTTTTTTCATATGCGATGCGAATGCATATATGGAATCTCAATGGGATCTCCCTTGCTTTCATTTGTAGAGTCTGATAAAGAGTCTGCTAATCGTTGAGTCAAATAAATTACGCGAAATCCCCGTTGGGGATGCACATGGCAGATATCAGTGGGATGACCTGCGGATGACCCACCCGTGGGGCAGGGACCACAATCCGGACTATATAAAGAAGCAGTGGGCCGGCAGAGAAGGTATCAGTTAACGAAGCCACTTCAATCAAGATGCAGTCTACAATCGTCCTCGCTCTGCTCTGCTGCATTGTCGGTGCTGTGGTGGCATATCCGGCCGAAGACATGACGATGCCCTCGACGCCATCTCCTCGCTATCCCCTCAACTTGCAGGGCGGCGGCGGGGCCCAGGAGCGCGAAGGATTCAACTTTGGAGTGCGTGGCAGCGAGAACGTGTGGAGGAGCGACAACGGGCGGCACGAGATCGACGTAAACGGCGGATATGCCCAGCGTTTGGGCGGACAGTGGGGCAGCTCGGAGCCGAGCTACAGCGTTGGCACCAACTACCGCTACAGATGGTAGACATCTCCCTCTCCTCCACCTTTGTATTACCGTACTATTTCTAAAATATTAAAAATATATGTCTATCCATAACTTTTGTTCTTGGCCTTTCTGGCTCTGACGTGGCGCTATGCCCATACTTTATTGCTGGGGCGATCCGAGACCCTTCTTGGGGGAGGACTTTTCATGTCATCAGTCGCACTGAGGGTCAAGCACGTTGGTCGAAGCCGCGCATTATGTGTAATTACTGAAGCTGGGTCAATGGACTCTCAGTGGGTGGTTGGGTGAGCCCGTGGGATGGCTGGGTGAGTCAGCGGCTGGCGGGTGCTTGAGGGTGACTGGAACTTGTCGGTGACATGCACTTGTCATATCAAACGAAAGACGCGAGCCTGCTTTAATTTGTGTAAAATTGTAAGGCGAAACAATTATGTTGTCGACATGCAACTGCCGCAGGCGGGGGCAAAGTGGAGCACAGATCCTCAAAAGTGCCGCCAAACATGCAAGCCCGTTAGAGACTGGAAACACACCACTGGAGGAGGCGTGGCTGGTGGCAGAAACAATTTGATGATGTGAAACGTAATTCGAGCAAAATTAACGCAATTACCGTGCCGCAGTCAAAGGACTCGATTCCCATTGCCGATGCACTGCAGCGGAAAAGTTTCCTCGCGTGCCAGGGCCAAATCGCATTGATAGTGCTTAGGCAGAGGCACAGGGCGGTGGCGGCGGCGGCGGCGGCGGCGGAGACGGCACTTGGAAGCGTGTCAAAGCTGCCACCTCCCCGATTCCTGCTCGAGGCATAGCCCTGATTCCAGGGACTCAATCGGCAGCCATTAATGCGAGCACAGTTCCTGGCTAATTCCCATTTCATTGAGTGCCTAGGACTGGAATTGGAACTCAGGAACGGCGACTGGGGGCTGGGGGTTGATCCAGTTACTGGCAGGGGCATGGCACCCTCACCTTGATTGCGGGCTGGCTTTTAATGGTCGCAATTATTTTTTCATTCAACTGACACGCACTTGTCGTAAAAGTCCATTGAACTGTGGCAAAATTGATTTCCATTTTCTGCCTCTAAACGATTTAAAGAGTTTTCCAGGGCAAAGTTCTACAAGTTTCTAGGAAGATTTTACTTCAATCTGAATGATCCAAGGTATTCGTCACTCTATTCCGTCAAGGATCTGCCAGCCAAAAGGAGGTATACCCGTCGTTTACCGACCATTTCGAGGGTCTTAACGAAGCCTTTTCGCCAGACAACCTTTTCTCTCAAATTCGGGATTGACAGGAAATTGAACTTCGAATTGGCTGCCCCAGGTACGCCTTTTTTCCCAGGTACGAGTAAATATTGCCAGGGGTGCTGGCATGCCGCCACTTTGCTGGCGTTCCTGTCGATGAACGAAGTAAAACAGCTGCAAGCCAGACAGATCTACAGATGCTGTTTGCGGCTTACAGGACGGATCATCTATCATATCATCTAACCACAGAAGATGGATTGTAGCTGTGATACCCCACAGGAAATGGATGGCAGCTATGATACTCCAGCCATCTTGTTCGAATTTTTCTTCGAATTTTAAAAGAACACATCTACAATTTTATCCAATAAAAAATGAAAATAAATAAAGTACTGTTATTGCACTATTTTTTACTACCATTTAAAAAAGAAATTGTAATTGTTATGATTATTTTATTATCGCTAAAAGTATGCTATGATATTCTGCAACGACTCTACGCGACCCAAAAGCGTTGCATACTTTTGCGCGGAGTCATAAATTCTTTGCATCGTTGGACAAAATGTCAGTGTGCTGTGTGTTATGTGTTTTGTTTGGCACCCAAGAATGCATCTCTAGTAGTGATCCGACAGGCCCGGCCACTCTCCCTGGGCATCGTCCCAGACGGGAAACTCGATTTTGCCCGGCGGTCCCTCGCCCGACTGTCCAAAGGTCAGCAGATGATGGTCATCCGACTGGCAGATGACGTGTCCCAGCTGCAAAAGGATACAGTTCATACGGATATCTGTTGCTTTGGTCTCGACTTACCCAACCGACCAATAAAATGGTCAACGCTTGCAGGAATATCGATTGTATCCACATATTGTACGGTCCCTCCCTGTCACTGACTCTCGCGGTGGCTGTTGAGCAACTGTTTTCCTGTTGACGTTGACGACGCTACACTTTTAATCAATTGAAAAAATACGAACAATTTATATTTTCATTCGTATTTACATTTGTCGCAGTGACTATCTGATTCTGCCGCTTGCCGGAGAGCGAAAAATTCGAATGAATAATGATGACAGATAGAGCACAGAGTACTGGGTTCGTTCCATCTAGTGGTTTTAAAGATGGGTTCTTGAAATGGCTTGTATGTAGATTAATTGTTAAATACTATATTAAATTATGAGGGAAATTATTCGAAGGATTAGTGGTTTCCATTGCCGTTTCTTTTTAAAGGTTTCCGAATGCAAATATGGAATCTCAATGGGATCTCCCTTCCTATATAGACTCTGCTAATCGTTGAGGCAAATAAAATGCGTGAAATCCCCGCTGGGGGATGCACACGGCAGATATCGGTGGGTCGACCTGCCGTCCCCCCTGTGGGGCAGGGACCACAATCCGGACTATATAAAGGAGCAGTGGGCCGGCAGAGAAGGTATCAGTTAACGAAGCCACTCCAATCAAGATGCAGTCTACAATCGTCCTCGCTCTGCTCTGCTGCATTGTCGGTGCTGTGGTGGCATATCCGGCCGAAGACATGACGATGCCCTCGACGCCATCGCCTCGCTATCCCCTCAACTTGCAGGGCGGCGGCGGGGCCCAGGAGCGCGAAGGATTCAACTTTGGAGTGCGTGGCAGCGAGAACGTGTGGAGGAGCGACAACGGACGGCACGAGATCGACGTAAACGGCGGATATGCCCAGCGTTTGGGCGGAAAGTGGGGCAACTCGGAGCCGAGCTACAGCGTTGGCACCAACTACCGCTACAGATGGTAGACCACCTTTGTATTGCCCTAGTACCTTTGAAATATTAAAAAATATACATACATACATCGAAACATATACGAGTTCTTTATCTGAAACTGGGGTTTATGGCATCTAAGTCCTTGGCGATGTTCGTCTACCCCGGAACCTGCGGCCAGAGACAGGGTTTGGGTCGCAGACGGAGATGATCTTGCAGTTTGGCTAATTGTAGATACATCTTTTTGGGCAATTCTGGTGGGTAATAACCAATTAAGCGATGCCAAAGACGATGACAGGCGTCTTAATGAAACCTGCCAAGACAAAATGTTTTTGGCTAATTGGATTTATTGCATAAACTGTCAAGAGAATCTTCAAGGGAAATTCATCATGCCACAAGCCCAAAACTCTAGAGAATATTACGCCATCCCCAACGAAAGCGAAGCAGATTCATTTTTCTTTGACAAATGATTCATGATGAGGCTTGTTCTAAGCTCTCTTTTAATTCTTAGCCATGTTTGGGGATTACCAAAAGTTTTTCACATCATTAATCGGAAGCCGAGTCGACCTTGGCCCATGATAAATCGATGGGGGAAGTATGTATTTGTCTAGTTCGGATTGGGTTGGTAGGAAATCCTCTTAGGGTAAGCGGCGAGGCTGCCATCGGAACAGAGCTTTCAGTATCTGAATAGTTGAAGCTATACTCTATCCATGATATGCCTAGTAGGTGCTGCCCGTTCATCAGAAAATTCAGAAAAGATACCTTAAGATTTATTCATAGCATGAATAATTGTGTACCTCTTTTATTGTTGCTGTTCTGGGATTCACTTTTCCGCCTAGAGAGATAGATCATATTTCTTATCAATCAGCGGTCGGCTGGCAGATGCGGGGATCTACTTGTGAACCACTGAACAAGGTTGTTCTGCCTCTCCGATGGGATTCCCTGATGGGGGGAATCAATTGATAAGACCCTGATCCGAGGTATAAAAGAAGGCAGCTTGTCTCTGTCCAGCATTCAGTTCTCCAAGTAAAGCCCACGATATGGAATTCAGTTCAAGCCTCCTGCTGTTGAGCCTGGCCTGTGCCTGCGCCTGCCTCTGTGCCCCCGCCGCTGCCTATCCGCTGGCAGATGAACAGCATTTGGTCTATGTGGAGCCCTCGGAGGTAAGCAATCCAGAGCGAGAACTGCAGAAGTATAGCATCTAATGGCCCTGAAATCGATAGTTTTTCCCCGATTTCCTTGATGTGGAGGTGGACCATCCGCGAGTGCGTCGCCAGTGGCAGCTTCAGGGAGGCGGCGGCGGCAGCCCTCGCCAGGGCTTCGACCTCAGCCTGAACGGCCGTGCCCCCGTGTGGCAGAGCCCGAACGGCCGACACTCCTTCGATGCCACGGGCCACTACGGCCAGCACTTGGGCGGACCCTACGGCAACAGTCGTCCCCAGTGGGGAGCCGGAGGACAGTACACGTTTAGATTCTAACGAATTTGATAGATCAATCCATCGAAATTTATTTTATTTAATTGTAATTCACATTAAAAACGATTCATCTAAAAAGAGCTCCTGTTTTTCGGTCGGCGGGTACTCAAAGATGGTGGGATCCGGCTGGGGTGTCGGCCACTGAGAAAGGGGGATACAAAACAGACATTAAAGAGCAGCCTTCTGGCAATGAGCTCACCTCCTGGCTGTCTCGCACAATGGAGCGGCCTTGGATCAGGCCAATCAAATACAGAATAAGCCAGAGATTCATTGGGGCGAACATTTCTCTGAGAGATGCTGAACTCAACTGAAACTGCGCCCTGACATTGATTGCTACTTACTCTCTGTCTCTGTCTGTGTTTAGGTTCTCCCCCCCCAGCTGATAAGGCCCTGATAAGGCCCTGTTCGGTTGCTCGGATGTGTGTCAAGAGCTCACAGAGCAGACCCGACCAGGTCGAGCCATGCCAAAGCCAAAGCCAAAGCCAAACCCAGTTGAACTGTATTAAATATGTTGAACGTGCAACTGGCAGCCAAAATTTGGCACGTTTTCTGTTGAAATCGAATGAAACCAAACCGAAAAGCGGCACAAAGATGAAAAAAAAAAACAAAAGAGGAAAAACAAATTTAAATGTTAGAAGCAGCACAACAATGAAGGTCAGGCAATGATGACTTTTTCTCCACCATCCCCCCCACCCAGCAACAAATAGCACTGCTCTGCCTTTGCCTTTGCCTTGGAGCTTGGCATTTTGCTGGCCAATTTTCCTGGTTATACTTACACTCCGGCCAGGGGTGTACCGAATATACGGAGAGATGTGCTGTTTCATGGGACTTGGCTGCTGCGCTTTTCTCTTTTGTTTCTCCGCTTTCCATGTCATTTTCATATGGAGAGTGCACCGATTCTGTGAAAGAGCTATTTTCCAAATCAATGCACAAATTGTCAAAAGTCAAAGCGAGAGAGTTTCCTTTGTTTTTCTTTTATCGCAGTGGAGGGAAATTGTGTGCGGCTGGTGTATGGCTGGGTGGATGGGTGGGTGTGTGGATTTATTTTCCAAATTGCACATGTGGCAGTCAACTCATTTGTCAAGTGGCAAATCAGTTTAGGCCAGAGACAGCAACAGCCACGACAGAGAGTGAAACAGGGAACCAGGGAACCAGAGTTAGAGCCAAACGATAAAATCAGCTTTGCATTTTCCCCCTGCGGCCAAAAGTTGACGGTGAAGTTTTCCTGTCTGGCTCTGATCGTGACGATCGACGGCATTTCCCACGCAAACTTGCCTTTGGGGCCCCGCTCCGAGGACAGAGGACGGAGGACAGAGGACCGAGGACCGGGGAACGACTCTCAAGATTGCCGCAAGTTAAATTGTTTGACACACTCAACACTCAGAGTCTTGTCTTCGATTGTATCGGGCACCGCCGAACAAACATGCCTGAGATTTATGCTCTCCATAATAGAAGTTTCTAATGAGGTTTTGGGCCACAAGGAAAGATGGGGGCGGGAGGGGAGAGGGAGACCCCATCTAATGGCTTTTTAATGAAGCCCCAGAGAAGTGGGACATTTTGTCAGCTTAAAGTGAGGCTAAGTAACTCAAGTTAAGAGTATTAATTATGACTGACTGGCCGGCAAAAGAAGAGAACTCAGAGAGAGAGAGAGAGAGAGAGAGAGTGGAAGCTGTAAAGAAATGGCCAAAATGAAAAGTGCAAAAGTTAGCAGGTGCCAGACAGCAGACAGCAGAGAGCAGACTTTTGGCTTTTCGCATTTGCATTTGACATTTGGGCAAGATGCGCTTAGCTGCAACTGCAACTGCAACAACCCTCGCCGCCACTCTGCCGCTGCCTCTGCCTCCGCCGCCTCCACTCCCTATAGACAAAGCGGGATCGCGGCATTTTGGCCTGCCTACTGCATTTGGCCAAAATGTCTATAGTTCAATTGCTGATATTTTGGCAAGACACACGACGAAACACGTGACCTATGGAGTGGAGCAGCCGCGGCAGCAGGAGGACCGCCGGAGATGGCAGTGTGACACGAAACACGGCTAGAGAATGGTTTTGGGGAACACCAAAGGCAAGAAAGGCCACCCTTAAGGACTGAAATAGATACCAATGCCAGAAGGAATCATATGTCAATATGGAATGGAGCCCCAGATGGGGCTAGAGAATATGTAGAAAGACGAATTAAGGACCATTGCAATGGTCCGTGCGCCATCACGCACGACCCCCATCACGCACACATCGCTGCCGACGAACAATTGTTTAATAAATTGTTGCACTTTGATTTAAAACAAATCGACATCAAATGCTGGAAAAATCATTCAACAGAGAGTACGACGGGGAGTACTTATTCCTTTACTTCCTAATGAAGGTTGCTGGGCAGCAGGCTGTTGTGGCAGAGACTGTTGGCCGTTGTCATGCAAATTGGCCTCACGTTTTGCACATTAAGAGACCGTCAATTGTTCCAACAAAGCCAGCAAATGCAATGATTGAGTTCTTGGCACCTGGCCAGGCCTCCGCCAGGCCTCCGCCAGCCACACCAGGCCCCCTTCTCGCCCACCCAGAGAACCCGCATGCGAGTGCATGTGGAGTGCTTTTGGCTAATTGGAGTCGAGGTCCGGGCTGCCCAACGGGCGGGAATGATGCCTCAACTTCATCTCGATCTTAACAGTAAAAATGAAGACAAAAATATTTACCGTAACGCATTGAGAGAACAAGAACAAAAGTGGAGTTGCAAGCTGCAAGCTGTAAGCTGCAATTGCCGGTTGCAGCATCAGCAGTTGCTATCAGTATCAATAGTAATTTGAAGCCGCTTTTCGGGGGAGGAGGCTGGCTGCCGCATGATGGTGTCGTAGGTCAGGCAGCAGCAGCAGCAGCAGCAACGGGAGAAACGGCAGCTACGATTGCGGCAGTTTAAGCCAACTGCAATTTGTGGCCTAGGACATGGCATCGATGCAGCAGGCTACCCAGCTCCAGCTCCAGCTTCGGTCTCCACTGCAACTGCAACTGCAGCAACAGCAACAACAACAGCATTGTAATGACGATTTGTAGCCAATTATTTCAAATATTGTATTGAAATTGTATGCCAGTGTGTGTGTTCGTATCTGTGTGTGTGGTTATCTTTCGATTGGCATCTGGTCGTAGTCCGGGCTCAGGCCCAGGGACTGGACTGTCTCTGCCACTAAGCCTCACGTACACCCGTCCGAGTGTGTCACAAGTTGCCACAAGTGGACTTCTGGTACGTCCAGTCGTTGCCTATCTCCCCTCCCCCCCCGGCAGCTCTGCTGCATGGCATTCTGACATTGTCCAGAGTCTTGGCTAAGGTCATAGTCTCTCTTCGATTCCCATAACCTGACGCATCTTTGTCATGAGTCTGATTAATCACCGAAGCCCCAACGGGTCACGTCAACTTTCAACCAGCCATCCACAGCACGCGCTGACTGACCTTTGTTGCAACAGCAGCAGAGGCAAGTCTCTGACATTCATACGTTAATTTTAGCTTGTTGCATCAGTCAGTGGTTGGCTGGTTGTGTTGCATGTGTCATTGTCTTGGGTCTACACTAATCAACAAAGTGATGATGAAACCACAACCTGTTTGGGGAGAACCTTTTGGGGGATTTCTCATCAACAAAGTGCTC